CAGATCCGATTGTTTGCTAACACGATACGGATACACAGGTAGATGCGACCATCCCGAGGCTTTGGATACCGTCAGGCACGCGAGTGGACGCGGTGGATGGGGTGGATGGGCATTCCGACGCGATCCACCGGTCCCACGGTCCACGTAGGCATGATGAGTGGATCCGGTGGGCATCGGACGCGCGCTAACGGTCGTGAGAGGATAGGCGCGGTGGATCCGACGGTGGATGGAGGTCGTGAGAAGATAGGCGCGGTGGATCCGACGGTGGATGGAGGTCGTGAGAAGATAGGCGCGGTGGATGGAGGTGGATCCGGTCGCTCTCAGCCAATCCGAAGGCCGGATTCGCGATTTAGGCGGATCCACCGAGCCTAAGGAAGAATAGTACTAGGCAGTGTCACGACGCGCCTCTGCGGCGGCGGATGGACCCGCCGCCCGCCGCACCCTTGCGTCCGTACAGATTTTGGTGGCAGTGTCGCGACGCGCCTCCGTGCGTGCAGATTTTGGTGGCAGTGTCACGACGCGCCTCTGCGGCGGCGGATGGACCCGCCGCCCGCCGCACCCTTGCGGCGTCAGGTTTTGGTGGCAGTGTCACGACGCGCCTCCGCTTTTGGTGGCAGTGTCCGCGGCCCGAACTCCGCCCGAGATGCCCGAACAGTGGCAAATAATGAACTCGATTTTATGAGCATCCAACGCGGACGCCTAAAATTGTGAAAGCCGGCTCATAATACGTCTAAAATCGAGCTGAATGTCGGGATGTTGGGTTGCAATTTATTAGGGCCCTGTTCCATGCCTTAACAGGTTTTTCCTCCCAGAAAGATGAGTATACCAGGGATGCAATGCCTTACACAGGACTGAACACAGTGAATAAATTCCAGCATGCTTCTGCAGGGCATGCAAACCCATGACCTTAGTCAATGTGTAAGGGTTGAGACAAAGCTAACCCAGTCAGAAAATATTGTGCTCAGCTCCTGAATGGCTTTAAAGAGGATATGTACCTGAATAGTCATTTTCAGAACCTCTACTCCTTAGGTCATTGTAAGCCAGCTGTGCCATCCATATCCCCAAATATTATCCAATTTACTACACCAGTATGGCACCACACCAAAGCAGTTTTCTGAATGTAAGATCAGTGAGTTATCACGTCACACATTTATTTCAACTTCTTACAATGGTACATTATTCCCACATATTCCTGCACCATTGCTCCACACTATTTGATATTGCAACATTAACACTTATACTCGGGTGTATGAATGCACAAATTTAGTTTGGTTTTTTTCACTGATTTTGAAAGAGGTATTTTATTGTCTGGAGAGTCAAACCTTGCTGTGTGGCTATGCAGCCTAGTTTCCATTGATTCTATAGCATGGAGGGATCTTTGGAGGATGATAATGACCCAAGTTGATACACCCACTCTGTCCAATCCTCAATTCCATGTATTCAGTAAATCGGCCGTAGCGGCCGAAGGAACATTCCCACGGTCGTGGCAGTGTGATTTTCGGATTCCCACGATAATTCTGCACAGATTTAGGTACCCGACGGAATTGAGCCTCAATTCCGTCCGAACACAAGGATAGAGATATTGTATTGGGCTCACAAACTGCCTTGCACGGTGTCTATCATAAACATTTTATTGGCGGCTGCGCTGTGATTCAAAATCTGTGGGGATGGTTCCTGACCACTGATATCTTGCTAATCTATGCATGTAGGCTGTAATCAACCAAATCTGAGACGGGCGGAAAACAGCCTGTTTTCCACCCTGGGGCATGGATAGAGGTATGTGTACTTCCCTTCGTATCTTCATATATATACTCTGTTGCCTCCCTGCCTTGTGCGACAGCGTCTCCACCGCCGTCCCGGGGGATCCGCGCCGCTCCTAGGAGCTCCAGTGCGTACTCTGACAGAATTACGGAACATCCACCAATATAACATGGGGTGCGGAAAGTACCACTGGACTTAGCATGTCTGTGGCTATACACTGACCCCCCGAACAGCCGAAACTGAGACGGGCGGAGGTCAGCCTGACCCCCTAGCTGGGACGGGGCTAGGCCCTGCAATTCCTCAAGAGTTACTACCGCCGCGAGGCCCTCAGCTTCACTGATGATTTAGTTGCGGACCCCAAGGATTATGCCATTGATGGCCTTGTCACGAATCGGGCTATGGATGAGCTTTTGCATGCCAACAACATCGACGAACTACGTGACCTGCTGGGGAACAGATCGGAGATTTGAAGGTCGCGCCTCAAGACCTATAATATATTCTTGCCAGCTGTAATGTATGGACTCGTGACAATACATCCATGCATTAGCTCAAGTAGCTAGACAACTCGCGAGTCAACTCGACCTCGACTCGGAAGAACTCGAAAAGGCGAGTTTGACGAGTGACGCAACTCGAACTCGACTCGACTCGACTCGCGGCAACACCAGCGGGTCGTATTGCGTCAGTTCCGGAGGCGCCGTCGCCTTCTCATTGTTTTGCGTACCTTGCGCACCTTTACATGCGCTCAGGCACTCGTTTACTTTATATAAGAGACCTACCGGTCGACGACTAGACGACACTGTTCTCTCTCGAGTAGTACTCAATCCGAGACGCATAACTCTCAGTTGTTTGCTGCCGCCAGAGGACTCGTCGTGTGCCGCACCTCGCTTATTTAAGCGTGCCCGCGTCACAGTCGTATTGCGGGAAATGCCATCACCCTTGAGTTCCGTTGAGCTTCAGACCGCTTATGCTGCCACTCCGTGCATTGCGCCCTGGTCTTCGCCGGCCACTGGTTGCTCGGCATGGAGTTACTGCTCAACGAAATGCATCGACCTCGAGTAGCTCCGTACCGTTCGGTTTACGTACGGGCATTTACGCGACGGCCTTCCTCCTGTCCTCCGGTCTATTCGCCATATACTACTTTGACTGTCGATCGGCGCTGCATAGATACATCTTGACGCCGCTTTTGCGGTATGGGTTGGATGCGGAGAGTGGACACAAGCTGGCAGTGAAGGTGCTGAAGAGCGGATTGGCTCCTAAGGATCCCGTTCCGGACGACGTCGTGCTGGAAGCGGAGGTTCGTCGCTATTTCGTCCTGGATGAATCCTCATAGACGAGCATGAAGGCAAATCACAGATATGGGGCACGCGTTGTTCCAACCCGGTTGGCTTGGCCGCTGGGTTCGACAAGGACGGTGAAGCGATCGACGGTAAGCACGAGCGAAATCTGTCTCGTCCTTCACGAGCCTAAATCATTCGTTCAGGCCTCTTTGACCTTGGATTCAGCTGGGTGGAAATTGGAAGCGTGACGCCGAAGCCGCAGGTGCATACAATGCCCCGAAGTATGGTGCACGAAC